ATCCTGGCCCCACTGCCAGCCACCCTCGGGATGGGCCGTAGGCTGGAAGGGCACCGAGCTCTCTTGTTTCTCAGTGACCTTCCATTAGCACTCTGCCTAGGCCCACCGCTGAACTTCCCCCTCCCCAAGAGCTGGGATGGGCCGTAGGCTGGAAGGGCACCGAGCTCTCTTGTTTCTCAGTGACCTTCCATTAGCACTCTGCCTAGGCCCACCGCTGAACTTCCCCCTCCCCAAGAGCACCGGAATCTGTTGTTCACCCATGCTGATGTATTATTCAATGGCCGTCTCCAAGGGTTCAGACCACCAAATGCACTACACAGCTAAAAACTCTGTCACCACGATTACAATTACAGTTCAATTTAAGGCTGCACAAACAACATTACATTAATATCAAATCAGCTGATCCTCCTACCTCAATCACCTACTCCAACAATAAATACCTACTCACAGCCAACCGATACACTTTCCATACAACACCCAACAGCCAGACTAAACATCCTCACTACACATACATCCACTTCATCTCCACATTGGTGACCCTCTCACACCTCCCTCCTTTGTTGTTCATCAGAGGCTATGCTGGATTCACTCCTTTGCATGCAAAATTCCTTCTTTGTCCACTAGAGGGCCTCGTTGTTACAGGGTCCCCGATCTTCTGCCACTTCCAGACCCGCTGGAGAAGAAGGAAAACCTGGGCTCTGCCGATTGAACATAGACTGCACCAGGAGGGCACAGACAATCCAACGGGGGGGGGCAGCCGGCCCGGCTCTGATCGCTCTCCGAGCCAGAGCCCCCAGGCTGTAAGTAAGAAGATGAAGGAAACCCTGTCCAGGGCTTTGTGAGGAACTCATTGGGCCAGGCCTGACTAGGTTTACCAGCTCCAGGTTGGGAAATTCCTGGATATTTTGTGATGGAGTCTACAGAAGCCAGAGTTTGGGGAGGGGAGAGGTTGATGGTTGACTAGGAAGGAGATAGGGTTGTCAACTCCAGGTTGGAAAATTCCTGGAGATTTATGGGGTGGAGCCTGGAGAGGGTGGGGTTTGAGGAGGAGTGGGAACTCAGACAGGTACAATGCCATAGACTCCACCCTCCAAACCAGCCATTTCCTCCTGGGAAACCATTGTTGCCATTTTCCAGGTGAGGGCTGGAGATCTCTCAGAATTAAAACTAAAGAAGTACAAAAAAGATACCTGGCTGCTTTGAAGACCTTTTTGCAGGCATACTGTTTGTTAGTTTTCCCACAACCCTATGAATGAGAAACAGAATTTGTAAAACCATGCTTTACTAAATTAAAATCTTCCCAGCATCTAATTTTTGCCCCTCAGCGAGAAGAAAATGTGTGGAGAACTTACCTATGTAAAAAGTCTTACTTTCTTCAGGGGCTGAGTAAGCCTGGGCCACACCAGGCTACTCCTTTTATATCTCTGGTCCCATTGTGAAACTAAAAGATCAGCCCCTCCCAACTGCAGGGACTTGTGTGATCCAGCAGGGTTCTTCTTATGTTAATTATGTTACCCAGCTTCCTTAGCTGCTGCCACTGCCTCCTCCTGTTTCTCTTTCCTAAATAGTAGAAGTAGTTATGGCCTCATAGATCTATGAAGCTTAGGTTAAGATAACAAAACCATAAGACAACATTAAATAACAAATAGCAACAGAAGTGGCAACCATGTCCTGTAGTGCTCTTAATTTCCTATTCCACAGTAGTCATCCTAGTGTGTAGCAATACTCCCTCTAAGGTGTGGAGTCCTGTGAGCAAAAATTCTACATTGTGAGCTACTGGCATTGCAGTTGTGAGTGAGCAATTTGGCTACTGCATAAATCAGTTTGCTCTGGAGCCATCCTTCCTGAGCTAAGACAAAAATCTATATGCTGGAGGCTAAAAACCTGTGAGCTAGCTAGCTCACACTAACTCAGCTTAGAGGGAACACCAGTGTGTGGTCTCTATATGATGGACTGCAGCGGATCCTCACTTGTCATAAACTAATGCTGGCTAATGCACAGGCAGGTCTCCTAATAACATAGAAAAATTATTTAATTATACTTGACAAAATCACAACACAAATTGTTGCATGTGAATATAGGTAATACCTGTTCATTCTCATAAATGGAGATTAATAGTTATCCACAATTATAAATATCTATGGTGCTTTATATGGTATTTTCCCATGTGGACTTTTTTCCGTGTGGGCTTTTATGTATATGGGCTTTTTTCCATGTGGACTTTTTCCACGTGGGCATTTTTCCATGTGGGCTTTTTTCCTGTGAGCATTTATGACCGTGGGCTTTTTTCCTGTGGGTTTTTTTCCTAGAACCACAGTGATTGTATATGATTGTGGCCAAGGGCTTTCACTTGCCGGTCTGTCAATGTTTATGCAAGAAAAATATTATTTTTGTCAAATGTAGTTTATGAAGAGCAAAGCTTTAAACTCAGCCTTTCAACAGAGTGTAGAGACATGATTTACATATATGTAAAGTAGTTTGCTGTTTGTTTATCTGTGCTGCCAAGTTAACATGATTGGTTGTTGTCTCACCTGCTGATACTCAACTTTCAGCTATGATTCTATCATTATTATGTCTGGCCTTTTGTCTTTTATGTAGATTTGGTCCTGGACTAGTTATCTACTGGTACGGATTTATTGAAGAGCTGGATTGTCATCGCAATCGGGGTATCCTGCTCAAAGATTGCTTTCCTACAGATATAGTTACTCTTTGAGACAGCATGGCTGAGCAACAAGGGTGGAGAAAAGCTGAGAGGAAAAGGCGAATCCGGAAGCAGTGTAACTTCCCTGCAGTATAAACTACTGGCAACATCTTCCCTGAACTTCAATTGAACTTTTGCTGCCCAGGATCACACTACTATTGCTTTAGACAAACACATGAAGGGTTTCTGTTTTACCTCAACCCTCTGCTGATGCAAGCAGCCAAAAAATACAGACACAGCCCAAACATTATCAGCATTTCTGTCTCTGTCAAACAGTTTATAGATTGCCATAATCTTTCTTCCTTCCGGATGGCTTCTCCTTGCACTTTGAACAAAAGAAGAAATGTGGAGGCTAAAAGGTGTGGCTTTCAGTTTTCCTCTCTGGTGTGAAGTCACCTTTAAAATATGCCTTCTGTCATACAAAACCTTCTTCTGGTAAATGTTAAATATCCTGCCCAACACTCAAATAAGAAAATTAGTTAATACTGCATCTCTGTTCTTAATGCTTAAATTGTACGGATCTCATACAGCCCACTCAGGAGTAGAAAATTATGTTGTCTGGCAATGCACTGTTTTAAGTCTGAACTTCCTGGCTTTGGGGGCACAAAGTCAGACAGTTGACACTTTTAATGTAATTTTAATGACTAGCATAAGTTACTTCATTTTGTGTTGTTAGAAGCAAAATCATATAATGTGAGAAACATTTTTCTTTTAAAAAGGCTCAGACTTGAAATTAAAACTCAAAAAATGTTTATAGTGTATATTAAGGCGTAATAAACTTTTTAGTGGTGATGTTTTAAAATGAAAGACAGTGGAGCATCGTTATGTTGGCAATCTGTGTTTCAAAGATATTTTCAGTGGTAGCATCTAAAGCAAATTATTTCTTTTGATATTTTGTTGTGGAGAGAACTGAAAATCAGAGCTTTGTGACTGGTCAGTAATATAGTAACCAATGATCTGAAAACAGGACCTAAGTCACAAAGATGGAAAACAGGTTTACTAAAATAAGAAAAATATAGACCAACACAGTCCACACAAACCCTACACTGACCTCTCCATGACTCGTGTGCCCAGTTTGAGACTAACTTCATATTGAAGATGACTTGGAATATTATATCAGTGCTTCTCTTTCTTTGTCCCTTTAATCCTCTTCTATTAGTCAGGCTTTCCTCCCAGCTCCAATGAGTATTCTATATTAATGCTGCCTCCCACAATCATTACTATTCTGGGGCCTTTGGAATCATATTCTCTTTAGACACTTATCTCAGCAAGGGAATGGCCTATTGTTCTTCCTGGTTGCCCACTGGATTGTGTCTCTCTCACACACATACCTTTCTAGGCAAAATATATTTCAGACAGGTAATTCGTTTTTTTAAAAAAATGAAGGAAAATCATGTTTAAAAATTATTTCCATGAGAGGAATCTCAGTGCTCTGTCTAGATCATGGCTTACCTATTAGGAGACGATTACCCTGGAGTTTTTAAAGTATGGGTTTTTTTCAGGATTCAACTTTCAGCAAGACCTTATTCTAAGCAGCTGTAACTCATTTACGTTCAGCTACTTAACATACTCCGAGCGGCTTACAGGTTTGCACATAAATGTTAGGCAGACAAAATCTGCAATGTGTAAGTACCTAGTCCTACACAGAAGAAGCATTCAGAATGTTTTGGGCAGCTAACAGTAATTCAGCATTTTTCTACTACAAACCTGAAGATGAGGACTGTCTAAATGGAAAAGGCTTGAAAGGCAAAACAGGATTTGCTTGAGGTTGCACAGCTTCATTCTATTGTGTGAAATAAACTGCAACAATAGCCTTTATAAGACAACCAGGTACTTCCCCCAAAAAAATAAAATTTATCTGCACAGATGTTGCAAATCCTTTTCATACCTCATCTAATCTTTGTTTTATATAGGTTTGGTGTGAACTTTATGTTTACCTTTCTGTAAATGCTGTGACATAAGAGGTTGGAAGGCTATGTTGGCATCGGAATTCTTTATTCATCTTCCTATGTACTTATTTCTAAATAATCGCATTTAAAATAGCACAAAGCAAGTTATGAATGCATATGGTTGTTGAACTGTACTAATTATAGTTCCACCAGTTTTCCATCACTAAAAAGATTTTAAACATTTTCTATTGCATATGAAAGAAATTAAGAAATTGATTGCTGATCTTCTGTGCTGTAAAGTGATAATATTTTCATATTCTTTATCAAATATAAGCATCAAGTCTAAGAGATAAAAATAGCACTGGTGCATATTTTACAATGCTGTAGTCGTTAGAACCTTAACATTACAACCAAATCCAATTTTATGTAGAGAGTATTCTGCAGAGTGTGCTAATGAATTATGCCAAGCAAGAAAACAGAAGTGTGCATAAAACTGAATGATGTTCTCACTGGCATATATAGACTTAGCAAGCATCTGCTCTTACAAACACTGTAAAAAGGCCTTTCCTCAAGCCATAGAAACTGCAGCATTTGTGTGCAATGAGTTCAATATGGAGGTAAAAAAAATTCCTGGTTCATCAATAATGAGGCATGGACGCACATGGGCTCATTCTCAATTGCCAGAGGCAGAGTTAATTACCCTTTTACTATTCTGAAAATATTCTTCCTAAAAGTACCAGAGGAGAGGAAAAGTAGTGCTAAGAGTAAATAAATGTTTTAAAGGTTTCACACATATTGGATAATGCACTCTCAATGCACTATAGAATCACTTGCAACAGGATTTTCCTGTTTTCACACAGTTTGGGTACATAAAGTGGCTGTAGTGTTGGCTGGTGATTCTTTGGCTAAGACTAGTAGAGCTCCAGGTGCCATAAATGGGATTTCCTCTCACCTACTTTGTAAGATATGTTAGCCTGAAAGGTGGTGGCTTGCCTGGCAAGACTTACGGCTGAATACTAATCTTTTGCAATTTGAGTACTAGTCTTCTAGTCCTAAATCCAATACTCTTTCTAGTTCTGTTTCGCCAGGTGTTCCAATAAGAACCGATTACGCCGGTGGTGTCACACTATCACTTTATCACAGGATTTATTAGCTGGGATTTTATGGGATTGTATTTTATATTTTGTAATTGTTGGTTTTAACTGAATGTTGGTTTTAAATTGCTTGTAAGCTGCCCTGAGCCGCCTCGGCGGGAAGGCGTGGTAGAAATTTAATAAATAAATAAATAAATAAATAGTATACCACTGGATTTCTTTTTGCTCCTTTGTGCCACTCCATGTGCAATTGACTTTGGTGGACTTAGAAGGTAACTTTGCTTAGTATTACACTGCTTTGCTCTTTAACAGCACTAGGGCTGTTCCATGAGAATATTAGAACAGTGGTTCCAAAATGGTGAACTCACCCTCACTAGGAGGTTGCACAAATGCCATAGAATATATACTCCAAACCAGGGGTCCCCAATATAGTGCCCATAGGTGCCATGGCGCCTGCTACCACATTTCTTCTTGATTGGCTATGCAAATAAAAATAATGTTGTTTCAGTGGCAGCTATCACCACAGTGTTGATTTTATTCTCTCATTTCTCTTTCATAGTTTATTTCTTAAATTACCCTCCCCCCCCCCGTACTTGGGCTTCCACTGTGTGTTTGGCTCTGCCTCCCATGATGGCCATTTAGAGGTTGCACCCATCACCCTGTGTCAGAGTTCCAGAGAGATCCACAGGCTGTAAAAGCTTTAGCACCCCTGCTCTAGACTACAGAAGAGGAAATTAGGGATACTGAAACATAAGGACCTTATTGTTTATTGTCAAGGGATGCGCTTAACAAAACAAAAATGTTTTTGGTATACTTACAGAAAATATTGAACTAGCTAATCCACCCCTTGTCTGAGTCATCAAGATGATATGAGCCAACCAGAGGGGTAGTGATCTTGGACTTGGGTCTGAGCGGGTGTCAAGACCTGGTGAGAGATGTAGAGGTTGTTGCACCAATTGGGAACAGTGACCGCGATGCTATAAAGTTAAGCATTCACGTAATGGAAAGTTACTCCTAAAGTCCCACACTGTAACATTTGATTTCAAAAGAGGGAACTTTACAAAAATGAGGGGAATAGTTAAAAGGAAACTGAAAGAGAAACACAAAAGAGTCAAATCCCTAAAAGGTGCTTGGAAGCTATTCAAAACCACACTAACTGAAGCCTGGATAGAATGCATTCCACAGGTTGGGACAGGCGCTGCCAAGTCTAAAAGAAGGCCTGTGTGGCTAACAACGCAAGTCAAGGAAGCTATAAAAAGTAAAGAGGTTTATTTTAAAAAGTGGAAGGTCTGCCCAATATATTGAACAGGAGAGACCACAAGCTCTGGCAATAGAAATGTCAGTCAATCATTAGGCATGCAAACATAGATTTTGAGGAGCAGGTTGCTAAAAGCATCAAGACAAACAATAAACATTTCTTTAAATATATCTGGAGCAGGAAACCAGCCAGAGAAGCAGTGGGGCCTTTGAATGACACAGGAATAAAGGGATTGCTAAAGGAAGATGGGGAGATGGCAGAGAAGCTCAATGACTTTTTGCTTTGGTGTTCATTGTGTAAAATGAGGGGCATGTACCCATGCTACAACCCGTATTTTTAGGAAGGGAGTCTGGAGAACTGAACCAAATTGAGGTGCCCAGAAATAAAGTTCTAGACCTACTAAGGAAATTAAAAGCTGATAAGTCTGCAAATCCTGATGGCATACACCTGAGAGTCCTTAGGGAATTCAAACAGCAGATAGATGATCTACTAACCTGTATATGTAACCTATCACTAAATGCAGCCACTGTACCAGAAGACTGGCAAGCAGCAAATGTTACACCAATTTTTAAAAATGAATCCAGAGGGAAACCAGGAAATTACAGGCCAGTCAGCCTAACAACAGTCACAAGCAAATTAGTAGAAACATAATCAAAGATAGAACTATTAGGCATATGGAGGAACAAAGCCTGCTAAAGAAAAATCAGCATGGCTTCTGCAAAGGGAAGTCCTGCCTCACCAACTTTTTGAAGTTCTTTAAGAAAGTGAACAAGCATGTAGATAATGGTGATCCGATAGACATTACATACCTGGACATTCAAAAGGCTTTTGACAAGGTACCTCACCAAAGACTCCTGAATAAACTTAGCAGACATGGGATAAGAGGACAGGTTCCCTTATGGATTAAACATTGGTTAAATGAAAGGAAACAATGGACAGTTCTCACAATGGATGGAAGTAAGCAGTAGAGTCCCACGAGGATCAGTATTGGGGCCGGTACTATTTAATTTATCCGTAATCAATCTGGAACTATGGGTGAGTAATGCAGTGGCCAGGTTTGCAGTTGACACAAAATTATTCAGGATGATGAAAACCAAGGCTGACTGAGGAGCCAACCAGGTGAGTGAGCAACAGTGTGGCAAACAAAGTTCAATGTTGGTAAGTGTAAGGTGATGCACATTGGGACAAAAATTCCCAATTTCAAGTATAGGCTAATGGAGTCTGAAGGAGCTGGAATTGAGAGGGGAAAAGATCTTGGGGCCATATTAGATAGTTCAATGAAAGTG